TGAAAGAAGGCACCCTTGAAGAACACCGCTGTTGGTAACGAACTGCTTACTTGGTTCGTTGTAGACCCTTACACGACCGGAGGTATGTGAGTACAGTGATCTCAGTAGGTTAACGCACTACTGGGGCATTCCTTTTCAAAGAAGGGAGCCTCACGGTCAACTGAGTCGAAGGCTCCTTTCAGGTCAAGGAACACTGCGATCGTTGGCCGACGGTGAGTATGACGCAGGTCAAGGATCTGACTTACCAATGTTCAACCCCATTACATGGATCCCCAAAAGTACATTTGAACACTCCGATCGTACTGTTCGTGAAGATGCATGTGAGGATGGTATGATATTCTTTGTCAATGACTACCATCGGTCAACAAATGAAACATGAAATCTGTTACTCCCCCCCCCAGCACTTTTCCGCACGGATACACACAGAAGCCCTCTACCTCAACCCACCCCACCCCCGATAGGCCTTTAATGTCACTTCAAACATAGGAATATAATAACCATGACCGGACCAACACAGCAGGAAATCCATTCACAAGGATGGTCGCTAAACAAGTTTCGTGTAAAGTGATATAACTCAAATGAGTAAAAGACTCATTCGAAATAATTTCGTACACAACACATGCATTGTGAGAACAAAGCGGGCATGATGTACTCACGTGACAAGAAGCCTCCGTGAACTTGCTCTTGTGGTGCTTTTGTAGAAAATCGAATAGAAATTTATCATAACGTACAAGCCATTGTGATGTGACCTCCGGATCGGGACTTGCATCATCTGACTTGGACACAGACAGTCGACTAGCCTCGGTCAGGGTGTGCAAAAGGCACAAATCTGTAACCGATCGGACACCGGTGGTAGACGCCCTGGACATCTGATCATGTCCAATTGGATCCGCTGCGCACAGGATATAGAAGGGGTCTGGTTCGAATGTGTAGCCTTTCGGGAGTAGATCCTCGTAACGATAAAGAAGCTATTTAGAGTAGAACAATGTGTGGGAAAAACATGAATGAAACGGAACGCATGTGAGTGAATCTAAACATTGAGAGATGAAAGTTTTTCACTGCCCGTAGAAAGATGGCTGAAGTTTTCTTATTAAACTGTTTCGAAACTTCGATGGACAATGGAGAAGCTCAAAATCGATCTTAGTCGTGTAAATACTGGTTTGGACAATCACCACAGCCATTATGAAATCATTAGTGCAGTCAACCTCCTGCAATGTCGCACCCATGAAAAATCGCACTTTCCAATACCTGCCCACCTTTTAGCAAACTCAAATTGACGCCATACGGAATAACGAAAGCTCCTGACTGTACAATGCTACCTTCTTCATTATATCGCAATTCCTGATACTCACTTGGTCGTTGAGGGATATACGGATTGGCTACTGACCAACAAATATGCCATGTCACGTTAAGCCAATGACGTTTCACCAAGTGTGACGCGAACATGGCTCTGTTCACTGATTGGATAACCCTTATGAAGAAGGCACACCGATGCCACCAGTAATCGAAGACGATGTCATTTAACGTCAAGATGTGCACGCGCCTATTGATCAGAGAGAAAGAGAATGTGTTGTCAATGCTGAACAGATTGAAATGGTATATCCAATCGAACGATTATTGGAGAATTTGTGAACGCTGGAGCACCTAAGGAAAGATGCCACCTGAAAACCAATGAAAAGTTCAAGAAAGCGAATGAGACGAACTTAGCAGGGTTCATTACTATGAGGGGATATCACAATGAGTTCCCAATAGTGGAGAGCATCGTTTGTAAGAAGGCAATGCAGACAGTATATATGCCCACTTCTGTGCGCTAACTAGGTTAGCAAAACCTCTCCTGAAGAAAGGCAAGTACTTACTAGATAACTAGACACTTGAAACTGGAAAAGGGCTGGAAAGCACTGTACTTTTCATCAACCCGGTTTATTTTATCACAAAACCCCCAATCGACTTTCCATACTACTCACTAGCACATACCACTGACTAACAGTCTGTAGCAGCTTCTGGAATTTATCCATTTTTTCAAATTCGCCAGGGGTGCAAAATAGCAGGAGTTTGACTGTTGAATGGCAATAATAACTTGTAAGGGTCTACTTGCACGTTAGCGATGAGGTAGGTGAAGAGCATTATTAAGGGGAGAGGTATGGTAGTGTTCCAAACATGACTAGACTGCACCTTAGCGTGATGTGATGGGTCGCGTACCTCCATGGCCCTGAGAGATATACAGGATGGCTCCTCAAACGCAGATAATCATGCCTGAAAGGTTAATGGGTAGAGGCCAGACAAAGCTCAGCCTCACAAGACCCTCCGGGCTTCTTTAAGGTCAATCTAGCAGATAAACATGAGGCGGGGCAGTTTGCCGGTCAACCCTTCACCCCATTTGCCACCGGAGATTGAAATGCTTGCATAGAACCATCAAATGAATCCTCTGGACGGGTGCCAAAATCACCGTGTAAACTACGCTATGGAAACGGAGTAAACGTATGCAACACAATTTTAGTAACCCAAGAGGCGATGGTCGTAATACGCAGAGGATCGCAGAGTGCATCATGGCGTTGAAACTAGGACCAAGAACGGCAAGGACTATGTCTTCCGGCGATCTTGCTTCTACCTGCCCTAGAACCGAATAAACACCACGGCAATCGATATGCAAGAGACAGGGCAAGTATTAGCCGAAAATATTAATTCTAGTCCGATTACTGTATTGTTTTTCCGTTCCGAAGCCGTCACAATAAATGAACGATGGAAAGCGACTAGAAGAAACCGAGAGATGCCTCTGTCAAGCCGACTACTTGCTCCGTTCCTTGTTCAATACAAAAACACACGGGTATGCACGTTACAGTCCATAAACAGAACATGAGGTCTGTGAATGTTTGAATGAGGCAAAACCAGTTCCAGTTTAATCCAAGGAGCCATACGTTCGAGGTGTCTCCGGTCGGTCGTGCTATTCAGTGGGAAGGATTTCATCTTTCAACCTGAGGGTCCATGATTAGAATCCCGGGCCGAGACAAAAACTATCCAAGGCTCAAGAGCTTAACAAGGCTGACTAACACATGACAGTTCATTGCAAATGTTTCATTACCGAATCAGGCTACAAGAACTTACCTCACGAATATCGACCACCGCTTTTTCAAAATACATTTGGGCAGATTTGAAATCCCCTTTTTCAAAGTGATAGAAACCTAGCAAACCGAAAAGACGTCTAGAACGCTGAAAAGAAAGACAGGGCAAGGGGTGGGAAGGGAGATTTCCGTAAGGATTAGGATAATAATCAAACATAACAGCGACGCCTCGATTGTTTCCAATCGCAAAATCAACGGAGATCAATTATTGATAAGTAAGATCAAACGCAACAATATTTATGATGCGCATGCGAGTCCGTCCGTCATTAGCCATTTTCCGCTGATCGTTTGGTTCCCTTCGGTATCAACTAGCAAGCTCGTAGGAGCTGTTTTATGAAAGACTATATAAACTGTCGTGTACCTTAATGACTCCAACACGTTCCCTATCACCCACACAGTCTGTTGTGCTGAAACGTCAAAATACGCTACAGTTTCAGTTATTACAAATATTACCCATGCACTTTTGTGCGCCTGTTTTGGTTGCCCATTTGGATGGACAGTAGGAAAACGTAAGGGGGTTGAAAGTAGTCTAAGAGAGAGCTATGGCTACAAAGAAACTGAGAAGATACACGAACGCCACGTTTTAAGACACTCAGCCATATCATTCAGTATCTCTAACAATTGGTTACGGTCATCCCGAGGTCCTTATCCAGGGAGCTTAACGGGATCTATGCGACCCAGTTTTCTACGTATGACCTCTGTATTGCTTGTCCGCTTCCTCTACCAGATGATGCTGATGCTACCAGACTCGTGCAATGCGATGTAGACAGTGGTGTTCGAACATCGACGATATGTTTTTATCCTGTTCCGGTAACAGCCAAGTATCTGCACCCAATAGCAGCACTGGCCAAGTCCACCGGGTGGGATGTAGCTGCTTAGATAATAAGATTTACCTACTTCCTCTACTACTTCCCCAGTCAGGGTGAAACTGGGTGCTGGACCAACCCAATCTTTTAGTAACATGTTACACTTTGAAGGTGTAAAACGCATACGGAACATGTCTACGTTGGCACTCAAGCTATCCAGATAAGCTTGCAACCTACCTGGATCTTCACTTGGTAGCACAGTGTCGTCTACATACTTTAGATCAGACAGTCTGCCACCTGGGAGTAAATCGATATCGATATCCTTGCACGAAGATGGAGCTGTTCAAGAATTAAATCTATGACAAAGTTAAGTAGAACCGGAAAGAGAGAAGGATTGTATTAATAAAATAAACTTCTCGGCCACAGCCTTCAGGAAAAAGCAACGCCAGAGTTTAGGGTGGTCGACTGAGTCTAAAGCCGCTTTCAGACTGAGGAAGATAAAAATGTTGAGTCTACAAACAGAATATCTGTGTTCTAGAATTTTGCAAAGAGAGAAGACGTGGCCGATATAACCTCGGTCAGGTCTAAAACCGGCCGGGCTCTCATGCGTGCACCGTTCGTGTGCGCAGACAATCGACAGCTATTGATCCCAGGGAGAAGTTTGGAGGCAATGTTGATTAAACCAATTCCTATGGTTTTCACAGGAGAATCTGTCGCCTTCCTTGTAAATCGGTAAGATGACCGATTGACACCATTTTGTCACCTGTTACCTCTCCCCCACTGGGCCCAGGAGTAACTAACGCTGAGCCTTCATACTAAAACCCTGATGAACACAGCTCATCTGGGCCGGAGGCCTTAGGCCGCTTTGTTAAAGTAGGCGATCTCCGTTATCAGTCCGCTTGGCTGGGATCGCATGTGGACCGCCTTTCTGATNNNNATCCCACTTGAGCACTGAATTCTCGGACGACTCCTACGACACCCGTTGATCGAACACTGGAGTAATTGAGAAATATCCTTGTGGAATTCCTCCTTGCTTTCAGGTGTGCAATCGGTCGTTGCATACACGGATATCACGAGTAAGCATCGATGCTTCGTTCTATAGCTGTTGACCAGTACTGAACCAACCAGACGTACAGCGCAGTAGACTGCTGACTGAAATCCTATCAAGAAGCGAGCGCTCAGCCTCGGCACTTGGCACAATTCCGACACTAGGAGCACTGCGAGCGTCGGATGCCGACTCAAAGAGTTAAGCGTGAGATTGAGGTTAGGTCAGAAGAACGCAGGATGATTGAAGTGGGGTCTTGTATATGTGTTTCAGGAACACAAAATACGTCTAAATTGATTTTTTAAAAGGTTCTAGCTAGGGCAGCTCGCTGATCGATTTGGTAGTGTTCGAACGTTGAACACAGGCAAGCGAAAAGGGAATTTTTGCTCCAAAAATACCATAAATTCTGATTGTTTTTTGGCTCAACTGGTAAAATACTGAGTGATTTCCAATGGGTCTTGTAAACAGGAGGCAGCTGCGATTATTCGTGATTGAGAGGAAGAATTAGAAAGATAGGAAACAGGGTTTTCCAGATGTGTACCAAAGACTTTGAGGTACGAAATACTTCGCAGCAGCCCACACCAACGAAGGGGGTTTTCTTTGGGAACCCTAACCGGATTCTTCCAATCAAAAGTCTGACCCACAAGGCAGTGAGGTTTAGATCCAACGAGGGAGTGTGTTCAGGTCAGTTCAGTTTGTACGACCATTACCGATGCACCTTCGTGCGGCGGTTTTGATTGGTCTTTTGGCTGCCCATCTGGATGATGAATAGGAGAAAGACAGGAAGGTTGCAAGTAGCGTGACCGAATCGCCCATGTGGGAACTTCTAGGGTTTAGTTAATTTGTAGTTTACGGCGGCTGACTTCTGGGAGAGGATAAGCCGGCTTCATGGATATCTCGAATCGCCGCTGCCCACGCTCGGCGATCTGCGGCTAGATCAGCGCAGATTGTGATCCAGTTTGACTTCCATTAGCGAACGCCGTAGACGGAACGGAGACCAAGGTTTTCAGTATCCTTCCGTACCGTGTCAAGAAAGGTTTTCAGCTGTCCACCGTGCTGACCGCGCCAGTTCGAGCAGGGAGGCGGTGCCAAGACAGCTTTCGTCGGGTCGTTATCAGACTTACGAAGGATTTGGCCAAACCACTGTAGTCGCCGCCCTTGCATTAGCGTCCTCAGCCGCACAAGATTAAAACACCGATTTCCGATTGCTTCGTTTGAGATTTGATCCCTCCATCGTACTCCCAGAATGATTTTTAAGCACCAGTGATCGAAGACTTCTTATCTGTGACAATCTTTGACTCCGAGTGGCCAGGTTTCTCAGCCGTATAGCTAGACAGGACGGACTGCTACGGAGAAAACTCGGATTTTTGTCTTGAGGCTGATTTCATTTCTGCGCCAAAGGGGATTATTTAGCTGTAAAAAGGCCGTTGGGGAGAATGACTGAGCCCAAGTATTTGAAGCTTTCGACGGATTCGATCCGCTCGCCGTTTGGTAGTAAAGCATTTTCGGGATGAATCGGGACTGTCGCAAAGGTTTTGGTTTTTGATGTGTTCACCTCTAGGCCGATCTCGGAGAACTGTCGACTGATATGGTCAACGATTACTTGGAGATTAAACACGTCCCCGCCCAAGACGACAATATTATCCGCGAATTCTAAGTCGTAAGTTCTGAGCCATAAGTTCGGAGAGATCTGAACTCCTTCCATCGAACGACCCATTATCTAGTCCACGGCAAAGTTGAACAGTATTGGGGATAATGGGCACCCCTGTCGCACTCCAGATCTTAACCCGAACGGGCAAGACTCCTCTCCGTAGATACGGATTCGGGCGCTAGCGTCAGAATAGTAGGATCTCATTGAATTGACAAGTTTGACTGGGACACCATCGGCCAGAACTATGTTCCAGAGGGATTCGCGATCTACGGAGCAGAATGTCGCACGAAAATCAATGAAGCAGACAGTTGTAGAATGTTAAAACTTGTGGCGACGTTCCAAGAGTCGACGTAGAGTGAATATTTGATTGACGCAATCCACACCGGGGCGGAATCAATTCTTGTTAGGACGAGTGCATGTCTGTCTTGCTGCAGTAAAGCGGTTCAGCTAAAGTTGTCCAAAAACCTTGGCCTCCACGTCCAGTAAGCTGATGCCTCTGTAATTTTCTCACACTGATTTGTCACTCTTTTTGGGTAGTAAAATCGATGTGGTTCAGTCAGTTGGGCAAATTTCGATTTCCCAGANGATATGAAGAGGGTTTAAAATGGCTGAAGAACACTGCGTAGATTTCGGCGGATATCCTGTCCTCATCGGGAGATTTCCGTGGCCTGAGATGGCTGATGGTATCCGAGACTTCTTCTACTGATGGCGGAGCGCAGTTAGCTTCGTATGGAGAAGATGGTGAGGAGGACGCATGCGGAAGTTGGATTTGAGGGCGATTGAGAAGAAGACTAAAGTGTTG